ATCTCAATTGACCTTGATATTTTAGACTGACCGGTAAGATGATCCCAGTGTTCTGACGTATCCACCGAAGATATTACAATATCATCGATGTACCACTTGATGCCCTGGAGCCCGTCAAACAGACGATCCAACGTCTTCTGAAAGCGCCACAACGCTTCTGTAATACCAAACGGTAAAGCTAGGTACTTATACCGACCCCACGGAGTCCAGAAGGTCAGTATATCCTGGCTCTTCTTCTCAAGTGAAAGCTGTTTGAAACCGTTCCCACAGTCAACCACCAAAACCCACGGCTTGCCCGCGACGTGCCCAAAATTCTCGCCCTCAGTGGTGATGTTAAAAGGCTCCTGCTTCAATTTCGCTTTCCACTTAGCAAAGTTGGTACACTACCGCCAGTCATCCTTTGTTTGCGGAGTAACTCTAGGATTCTTGGGGACCAATAAAGACTTCGCAGACCAGAGGACCTCCTCATCTTCTTTTCGCAATGGTGCTCTGCTTGACGAGGTCATCGATTTTACCTTTCATAGCTAAGGCAAATTCTCCTGACTGCGAACCCGACGGGTACAGCTTGATAGGATCAACACGCATACATCTGGGCTACTGCTTGTCATACGCACGCCCTTCAATGAGAGCCTCAAGTCGAGCAAGCTCCGCGTCAGATTTATTGGCCTCCTGCGCCAATTGCCGTATCCCCGAGCGGTCAAATTCAAGGCACTTGTCCGCTCGACGATCACAATCCTCGATCTCAGGCTTATCGAGGTCATCCAAAGCACGGTTCGGAAGGTCAAATATGTTGACTAAAACCGGCAGCCGAGGAAGAAAAATACCTTCTACATCCTTGGTCTATGAGAGGACCTTCACAGGGACCGTCTCCGGCGGGGTATGCTTCTCCCGCTCTGCTTGTAGCTGCGCTGCTCTTGCTAGCAGCAGCTCCCGAAGATCCCGAGCTTCAACACCAGAGGCATCTCCTGTGGAGACCACCCTGGGTGAGCTAGTCGGAGCGGGGTCAAAGCGGACTTAGGTCCACTAGCCATCGCCTGCGTCGATCTCATAATAAGCCGATCTTGAGTCTCCGTCTTTTTATCAGTTGCAGTAGCGGAGGTTTTGCCATGGCAGACTTGAGTCTACCATTCGCCACCTGCGTAGTCATCGAAGATAAGTCATGTATATCATGCACATCCCGAGCTGCCGTCTTCAATCGCCTGGCAGGGTACGAACGCTTGTTATGCGCCCTAGGCCGGCTCAAAGTCACCGAGCTATGGTTAGTGTCATCATCCTCAGTTGAATCGGACAACAAGTCCCAACAGGATTGTTCACTACTGTCATCGCTCGGCGTTACCCGCACCTCCGGAACCGACCGCCTGCTGAGCCACACTATAGTCTCATCGTCGGAGACATCAGAGTCCGACATAATGTCAGGACAGTCGTCGTCCGCAGAAGTCTCGGCGGACGCCGAACTAACGGCACTAGATTGCGAGCCAGAGTCCTCAGCTGAAAACCGCACGGTGCATCACGCTCAATCACCCCACCAGCCACAGGCTCCTTCATTGCCTTCCTACCTCGTGCCCGAGGTTTTGGTGGACGAAAACCAAGTAACAGCTTCACCTGCGGACTCAACGGAACATTCGTATCCTTGAGCCACGACAACTTAATCGCTGACTGGGGCACCAGAATAAGCTCATCCACTCGTCACATGAGCGCCCATTTCGAATGCCGCATTTGATCAAACTCAATGAGTATGTCGCAACCCATAGGAATGTCATCCACAATATAGAAAGGGCAGCCCTCGACTAGCGCATATGTCCCTCCAAGAATGACCAAGTACGCTTCTAAGTTATCCCAAGGCACAGAAAACTTGGGGGATAGCCCCAATACCACCAATACCTTCGTATGGTGGCCCTGCATATCTGTTGCTTGCCTCCATACCGAGCTGATGAAGCATGCAATTCGTTACTAAGTTGAAGGTACAATCCGATTCCGCAAACGCCCATATAAAAGCCGGTCTCCTCTAGGCTGACTATACGATACCAAGATGTTTACGCTAATAAGACAATATGTTAATACGTTGAAATGCAAAATGTTAAATAAGTTTAGCTTCAGCCCTTGGTAATGAGCAAAAGATTAAGGGGTTTTAGACTGAGACTATTGTCTATATGCTTTGCTCTAATCACTCACTACTTCGGTTTTATTTATGCTTTAGTTACTAAGATTAGATATCATTTCATTGGATGCATAGTTTATATTTCACGCCTCGAAACAACTACCTAATCAAACTAACCAATAAAATACATCTAAGTCCAACTTAAGAAAATAGAAAGAAAATCAAACACCAAGTCGGTGCAGTATACATCTGCTCCCCATCCCATTTAAGGCATAGACGGGCACATCTAGTTGGCTGGCTAGGGATAATATTATTTATTTCAAAGGAGTTTGTACATGTGGTATAGCTCTCATAGCCGTTGTAGGAGGAATCAAAACCATGTTGTCCTAAAATCTAACAACTCTGATCCTGTCCTTTTCTCAGTGGAATATCTTGCTCTGAGATTGTTATTTTCAGGTGTCAGATTGGTGTCGTTCCTATATTATGTACAATTCTAATTTCAGTGGAAAAACCAATCAATATTTGGAAAACCACCTAATTGTCCACAGTAGAGTCTCATACTCTACTGAGTACTGTCACATGTTCAGAATCTTGAATTTCTCAGTTCTTGTTCATGTCCAATTCGTTAAACGTATTCCAGTATTATAGGTATAAACGTTTATAATATACGTTAACTATGCAACTTCTATTAGGAACCCGCTATTTTTACACCCACGTGTGAACAGCCCCCACAATTGCTGGAACCACCGCACCATTTCACTTGCGCCGCGACTTCTTCTGTGAAGCTGCGCCCGCCGAACCCCCATACCTTGGACAATCCTTGCCGTATGGTCTGTATCGTGACAAAATGTACAATACATATCACCTTCTGACTGTGACGACTCAGAATACGTCCGTCTGCTACCACGACCTCCGTTACGCTTACCTCGCCCCCGCTCACGACTATGGGAACGTGAGCTATCTCTCGAGCGCTTATAGCCCTTACCAGACCGCGAGTGCGAACGCCCCCGACGAGAGTCATCCTCTCCTGACTCCGAATGCCGACCACGTTGGTTTCAGGGCTTAGCATAACGCCCATCCTTATCCTTGCAATGATATTGTTCCGGAGTTCGCTCACGAGGCGACCTTAACCTAGACGTTGAACGCCGACCACAATGGCGGTTGTCATCCGAATGATATATA